TTTGATCACAAATGTGTACTTAATAAAATCAAAATTATCCCCTCCCCCCAAAAAATTACATATAAAATATTTTAATCAGAATGTCCGGCTCTGTGGTGCAGCCCCCCAAAATAATATCTCGTTAATGCTAATAATAATTCACTCGTGTGAATCGAAATCAAGCGAGGCAACAATCGCCTATGTTTTTATATGAGAAAATCGATTTGCGCGAGTTTACATTGCACGACAAAGAAATTTGTTAATCGCGCAACATTACCAGTAAAGTTACGCCAATGTGACGCTCTCGAAAGTCATGCTGTCGATTATTCTCTTAAATTCTAAATATAGCAATAATGTAGAATTCTCGCTCCTTCAAATCAATTTTTATCATTATATTATACGTTTGACTGAATTGCGCAAATATCTACGCCTTATCTTCATCAGTCTAAGAATTATCAGTTTGTTGCTGATTATTTTCTTGCAATGTTTCGCGCGTCTAATGCTCTTAACAAATTAAAGAAAATTTTGTAGACAAGTTAAATTAATCAGGAAAGCATGAAATAGTTGAATAATTCCGTACTGATTTAATTAAGCAAAGAACGTTATTTCTTTCGTCGACTTTCTTGCGACAAACTAGGAGCAGCTTATCAGTAAAATATTATTTAATTTACTACTTAATTAATGAGTAAAGACGATAACGAATCGTACTAAAGCGACTTCGTAAATTGCATTCAAGTTCATTCGGACTCCTTTGAATATGTTACATTATTCTCACGCGCGCCAGGAGCGAAATTTCTGATTGGCTAATTAGCTTCAATTCTGAAATTAAGCTAAGGCAGCTCTCATTGTTCCTCAGGAAGTATATTCTAACCGAATAAAATAAAGTTATAATTGCGAGAGCATGACTGGCTAGAGCGCGAGAGCGAAGAGGAAAGAATGAATATGTACAGTGTGTACTTATCACGAGAGCTATCAAAAAGAAACACTGCATACAATCAAAGAAGGCGCATAACGCAAAAATGTAAGGCGATACGGAGATCGAAGAAGATCCGAAAGAGAATCGTGTAACGAGAGAGAGAAATAGAATTGAGGAAACGAGAGGTAGAATTACACGCTTTCGTATCTTATTACGTCCATGTTGATTAAATGTTTCGCACTGTTGTTTTATTTTATTCTTGTGCATAGCTTGTATGATACGTACGCTGAAAGTCTAAGTTATTATTGTTTTTATTTAAGGGAATGAAGAAGTCTCGATCGATACGGATCTTCGTTACAAAGACCACGATTAATTGTTGCATATCGAATGTAGTGAGCGAGTGAGCGAAATATGCGCGAGATGGACCATGAATGATCCAAAAGTATATCATGTGTTGTGTGAAAAAAATAAGCCGAATATAGATTATTCATATATTTATTTATTTGATTTGCACACACTTGTGTGCAAAATATTCAACATAAAATATCTCGAATTGAAAATTTCTTGAAATAATATCCGCCTAAAATTGATCGAACGATAAAATCTTATCCATTTATCTAATTCATTCAAATGTCAAAAACGTTACATGAAATTATGAACAATGTATAATTTATTGGAAATTTTGTTATGGCATATGAAATTAAATATACTTTATCTGATAAAGTATATAAATTTGCACGAACTACTGGATCATGCATGGGCCATTTAGTGCGCAATAATATTTCATTTTTGTAAAATCGTTGTCTTTCGTTCACCGTCTCGATACTTTTTATTGTTCCCTCGTGCACGAGGATAGCGAGCTCTTGCAGAGCAAAAACATGAGTGAGAGAGAATTGAAGAAAGAAAAAGAAAAGAAAAGAAACGAAGAAAAAAAAGAGAAATAAAAAAGATGATGTACGAACGAAAGTTAGAGGTAGAGAGAACGTTTCCTTATACCTTTCAAACGCGTATACGAATCGCGTTATTATTATTATTATTATTATTATTTAATATAATTGTCTAAAAGAGAGAGATGGATAGGCGGATATAAAAAATTATAAATATTTTAAGACTGATGTCAAGTTTAAACAATTTCATTTCCAAGATCAATGTTATATTAAAATAAGTTATGCATTTGTTAAAATTCACAAATACAGAATTGAATTTTGCAACAATTAGGAAAACTTTATAACATATAGTTTATCTAACACAATTGTGTGAACCTCAGATAATAATAAAATAAATTATTATTATTATTTAATATAATTGTTTAAAAGAAAGAAATGGATAAACCGATATATAATTTATAAAAATTATAAGATTGATGTTAAGTTTAAACAATTTCATTTTCAAGAATGAGAAATGTAAATGCTAGTTATTGGATAAACAGCCAAGCCGATTCATTATAAATTAGTTCCCGATTATCGATGGGCCTCGATGTTAATCGGCTTAACTGTTTCGATTAATCTTCCACTTGGTGTGTCGCGCGAATCAAAAACGTCTAGACGGACGATGAGAGATGGGATATCACTTACCCTGTCTGCTTATCTATCCCGTATGAATATGTATATATGTATATACTCCCGGTGCGAACCACGGCTAATCTTCTCTACACTTTCGCACGACTATCCCCGTGACTATGCTACCCCGAGTCACATTTTAAGTACGACGACGCACGGGTGGCGGTGCGACCGTGGGATTACACTCTCTGCCTCTCACGCTGCCGCCACCCTCTTGCGCCCCGGTCGGCGGCGACGCGCCCCTACCAGCCGAAGGCACCCCCACCAGTGGTACAGCTCGCCCTTGACGCGGCACCCCGCCGGACAGTGGCGTCTCTTAAGCGTGGGCGATTAGGTTTCGTAATGACGCCTCTTCTTGAGATGTGTGTTACCTATTTCTGTCATATACTTAATTATTTTTTTATGGTATTTTATTTTATTCCCATATCGAGAAAATGTGAAATACATTTATCATTATTAAATAATTAAAATTATTTATATTTATTATT